CGAGATGCAGAGGCGACGGGGCTGCGTGGTGACGCAACTCGTCCAGGGCCCCGGCCTGCCTCCGAGGCCGCGGAGGTGGAAGGGCTGGCGGAGCTGCGGTTCCAATCCGACGGCACAGGGCTCGGGTCGGCGGCTCACTCAGACCACACACACAGAGCGAGGACGGGCGAGCAGCAAGTTCTCGGGCGGGGCGGTGCTCGGGGCGGCGGCCCCCGGCCTGGCCGCCCGCCTGCGCGTCCCTCTCCAGGCCGTCCTAGTTCAGTGCGCAGCAAAGGTGGCTTTCTTCAAGCTGAAATTGGACCAGTTGATGGAGAGCCTCTGCCGGGTCTGCCTGGCGGAGTCCAAACAGAACCTGGGGAGACAAGAAGCCCGACAGTCACGCGAGGAGCCCGCCTGGCCCCCCAACACCTGGCCGCGGGCTGCAGTGGGGAGGGCCGAGAGCACAGGGCACTTCAGGGCGGGGACGGGCCCCGGCCGGCACCCTGGACATCCTCTGGGGCTTTGTGCCCGTCAGTCACCCTGAGCTTCAGGGAAGGGCTGAAGGAAGCTTCCCACGAGCCCATCTGAGAATTGGAAGCTGGGGTCGAAGCTGGGCTCTGCCGGCGGCCACCACCCTACCCCCCGGGCCCCGGAGACCCCGGCCTCCCCTCGTCTGTCCTCAGGGTCACCGGTGAGGTGACTTGAAACAAGCACTTTCAGGGCGAGAAGCAGCCACATGCCCCCCGCCCGGCTCCGGAGCAAACGTGCTGAGCGTGCTTCCCAGGCAGTGGAGGCCAATTTCTGTGTCAGATGAAGCGAAGAACATTGTCTTTCCTTTGCACAATTCCTCAAGTTCTCACCCTTCAAGCACTACCTTGGGTAGCAGGAATTAAACCTGAAAACGGTACTGTTGTCACTTGTCCAGCAGGTAAAATGAAGTGTTTTTGCTTAAACTGTGGCTAAATCATTTCACCACAATCGGTGGTGCGGCTTGCCTGATGGGCTCTGTCCGGGCAGAGGAAGCCCCCGCCATGCTGCCCCCCAGGGAAGGGCTGCGCCGTGTCGCAGAGCCCAGATTCCTTCCCTGACCACAGCTGGTCAAGCCCCAAGTCCTCGTGATGTTACCCTGTAAAACTTCTGGAAGCTCCCACCTCTGTGTCTACCGTCTCCCCTCAACTCTGGCGACAGCCTCCCAGCGGTGTCCGCTGCTGCATGTGCCCGGACCCCTTGCTCTTCACAGCAGCTGGATGCCCGGGGTCCTCGTCCGCGCCCTGCTCCCAGCCGCTCTGGGAAGTGCTCCGGGCTGACCCGGAGCAAGCCTCGCACCAGCTTCCTGCAGCACAGGGCACCAGAGCCCAGCATGACCTGGCTGGTGTCCCCCCCCACCCCCCGGCTCCTCTCTGGACACTACCTCCTGGCAGGCCTCTGTGTTGTCAACTGGGGACTATGTCACGCACACGGACGTACACATGTCCAGAACACGCAAAAGCCTGGGCGACCGCCCCCAGGTCAGGACACGCACACTGCCAGCCCGGGAGGTGGCTGCTGCCCCAGCCCTCGGGAGAACCAGCCCCCACTGGTCTTTGTAGTTTCACGACTCCCACAGGTGCCCCCGACGATAACCTGCGCTGACTTTGCACCGTGTTTTTTCGCATTGCTTCTTTCACTCAACACTGAGTTTGTGCAACCCCCCCACGCGACTACAGTCTGTTCACTTTCGCGGTTGTAAGGACACGCTGCCCCGAGCGGACAGACAAGTGGACGATGCGCTCACAGGCGGTGAGGCGGGCTGAGGGCCGCCCCGGTCAGGGGGCCACCCGCTCCCCGGGGCGGCCATGGTGTCGTCGGGCCGCTTGGCATCAGATCGGTCTTCCCTGAGCGGTCCTCTGCACCAGTCCTTCGTGACGTGTGGCAAGTACTGCCTTCCCACTTCCTTAAAGCAAATTATTGACTTTAACGTGTTCAGTTTACCAATCTTTTATTTGATGGTTGATATCTCCTTAGAGACATCTTCCCCTGCTCTGAGGTCCAGAAGACACTCATTCACCTGTACCCCAAGTTATAAGGTAAGCTCTGGACACAGAACCTGAACCCATCTGAAGCGGACCTCTGGGGGAGGGATGGGCGGGGATCCGACTTCAGTTTTCCTCACAGAGGCAGCACCCTCCCAGCTCCGTCCACCCACCCGCCGGCACCTCCCCAGCACCTGCCCGGCCACCTCCCGGGCACACACAGGTCTCCCTGGGCGCCAGGACCAACGTGCCTGCCCACGGGCAGGAGAGGAGCCTGCCCCGCTCCTCCTCTTCTCCTAGGAGAGCATCAGTGGTCCTTTACAATTCCCTTCTTTTTTGGCAAATGCGACACACACAGCGGGACGTGAAAGAACCGAGTGTGAAACAGAGACTCACTGCAGAACACGTGCCGTGGCCACCAGGCCGAGCTGTGGGCCCCGCCTGCCGCCCTCGCCACAGCTCTCCTCACCTCGAAGCCATCAACGGCTCTGCCTTCCACATCGACTGTTCCCCTTGGTTTTCTTACAATCTTAACACCTTCGTGTGCGCCCTGAACCGTGCACTTCGTCTCCTGAAACAGGCTCTAGTGAGGCCGAATTTATGTGCAAGGACCTGCAGTCAGTGTGGAGCCCGGGGTGCCGACAAGCCCACGCATCCAGGAAATTGTCACCTCAGAGCCACAGCACCCCCTCAACCCCCACAGCCCCCAGGCCGCCCTGCCGCCCGGCCCTGGGCCAGCACCGGCCTGTTGTCCGTCACCGTGGAGGAGTCTGTGACATCTGCAATCCTGCACCGGCAGGTCCGGCCTCCTGCGTGGGGCCCCGCTGGCCTCGGGCGGGGGCGCGCTGGCGGGCGGGCTGTTCTTCCCTGTGGACGTCTGGGCTGCTCCCAGCCTGGGGCTACGCATGAGACTTCCAGGAACACGCGGGGACAAGTCTGTGCGGGTGCACGCTCACTCCTCCTGGACAGGCCCCCCGGGGCGGTGCTGCTGTGCTGAGTGGCAGGTATGCTGAACAGTGGACTTTAGTTCTGCCTAATTTTAACTTCCTACAAATAGGGTATCATGTACACCCTTGTGTGCTCTCAACGTCCAGTTTGTAAGATGCACGGAGTTGTGTCACACAATGCTCTGGTTTGTTCCCTTCTGTTGCTGTAACAGCCCACGTACGACTGTGTCACAATGTACCCATCCCAGCATGTTTCAGAAACACTGTGTGAAGGTCCACAAAACCCTCCTCGGGTTTTAAATCTCGGATACATCCCGGGAAACCTGACAGTGGAGTGATTCTAACACGTCCCATGAATGAGCAGACAGACAGACGCGCTGTGCCCGGGTCCTCAACGCTCCTCCGTGAAGTTCCCCGTCTTCTGGGCACAAGTCCCGTGCAACTCCTGTTAGACTCGCCCACAGACACTGCACAGATTCTGGCACTGTTCTAATTGCTAGCCTCATTTAAACTGCATTCTTGAATTATTGATGGTGTAGAGAAAAACAAGTCACTTCTGCACCCCTGTCCCACAGCCAGGCTCCTGCTAGACTGTCCTGGGCGTGCTTCTGCGACTCCCCGTTAAGACAGTCATCCCCTTCCCAGCCCTTGTGACATCAACTCCTTGCCGCGCCTCCCGCGCCTGTGGGGAACCACGCTCAGGGCTGAGCAGAGGCGGCCACAGGGTGTCTTTGTTCTGTGCGTGCTTCCACATCTTTCCCGTTTTGGAAAACATTTCGTGTAGATTTCTTTCTTTTTCAGTAAATTCCTTTTTAAAGATATTTCCTTCTATTGCTAGTTTATCATTTCTTTTTCACTCTTTTTGTTTTTATAAATTATAAATGGGTGGTAAGATCTTAGCAAAGACTTTTTTTTCTGAGCCCACTGAAATGATCACCTGGCTCTTCTTTAATATATGAGTGTGCAAGTAACATGTGCATGTCCTAGTATCCGCTACTCCGTGCGTTCAGTCCTGGGATGAACCAGTTTTGTAATACGCTTTCATTACACTGTTGGATTTGGAAATTGAGTATCTTCTTGATGACTTTTGCATCTAACGTTCATGAGTGAAAACAAGTCTGTCACTTTCCGTTTTTCCTGGTATTGTTTCTGGGAGATCTTCGTATCAAAATTTTACTTCTCTCATAGGACGAGGAGGCGCGTGCCCTGCGGTGCCGGCTGTCTGGTTCCCAGCCCCTGGCGGCATCTGCATGACCGAGCAGCCCGCAGCCGGGAGGATTCTCTGCAGCCGTCGGAACGGAGTTCTCCCGTGGGGAAGACATAACTACTGCTTTAGCTTTTTCGTTTAATTAATTTTGCTGAACCTTTCAGGCTATTTTTAAATTGGGTTAATTCTGTATTTTTATTTAGGTTTTGAAATTAATTGTAAACTTGTTCCCGGTGCTCTCGCTCTGCAGTCTCCACAGTTACATCTTCCTTTTCACTCACGTATTCCCAGAATCAAAGAAACCCCTTTTTATTGCGGAAAATTTCAAACACACACACAAAAGCAGATTATGGTAAAACCACCAGAGCCATCGTCCGACTCTGATAATCACCGACATCCTGTTTCTTCTTACATCTAGTCGTGGAGTTTTTGGTGGGTTTTCCTGTTTTTCTTGATCAGCCTTGCAGAGGCTTTTACGTATTTAGTTACTGTTTCCAAAGAGTCAAACGCTGGCGCCGCTGACCTTCAGTTCCGTTTCCCTCTGCTTTATGCATTCTCTTTTGTTTCACTTTCCCTGAGTTTATTCTGTTGCTGTTTTCCTAATTTCTCAAGTGAAGTCCTTAATTCGGCAAGTTTCAGGTTTCTAAAACCTAACTCGCACGTCTAAGGCCTCGGGGAAGCGCGCGCAAGAGCAAACGTCCCTGCACGCCGCGGTTCTCAAGGCAACGTCTTCGTGCTCTTTCAGTTCTGTAAAATTCTAAAATGTCCACTGTGGCTTCTTACTTGACCTATGAGTTAATTTAAATTAAATTTAAATAATTTTAGATTTCCAAACATTTAGGGATTTTATAACGTACTTATTGTAAATACCTAACTTCAGTGTGCTGAGGTCAGAGAACACAATTACACACCGTTCTCTGACATTTCCAAGCCCCATGTCATGTGCCCCCCTCAACCCGTGGACACTCCCCATGTGCTTAAGGACACAACTGTCTGCCTCTCGGACGCAGCTCCGTCTGCGCCCACGAGGGGAAGCCCGCCAGCCGTGCCGGCTTGCCCCCATGTGCTCACGGATGCCAGGCTGCCCGGGCGCGACAGAGCAGACCCCGAGGCCCCCCCCCAGGAGGGCGGGTCTGTCTGTGTCTCTGTGCGGCCCAAATAGTTCTGCTTCTCGTATGTGGGGGCTATTTCATTAAGTACTTATGCTTAAAATGTCTGTTCTTCCTGACAAATTGAGCCGTTTATCGTGACGAAGCAGCCGTCACCCGCCCTCGTGCTGGAGCGCACTGGTCCGAAAGTGACACGGCCGCCCCAGCCCCCTCTGCGGCCCCCTCGCGCCCGCCCTTCTTCCGCTGCGGCTGGGCCGTGTGCCCGTGAGCAGGGTGCACACACGCAGGCGCACGGTACAGACCTCGGCATGACCTGACAAGCCGCTTTCATTTCTGCCCACTCACTGCCCGTGATGGTCACTCGTACAACGGGACTTGTCTGCCATCTTTTTAAAATTTGTTCATTGTACTTTCTGTACATTTATTTTTTTTCTCTTTTTGAGTTTTTTCCTTCTACTGATTAGCAATTCGTACACCCTACTTCCTCTTCTTAATACTTGCTCTTGCAGTTGTGTCATGCCCGTTTAGCTTCCGTCAGAACGTTAACTACCTGAGCAATAAGAGGGCCCGGGGACGCTCAGCTCTGACCGTCTCATGCCCGACTTAGGCGTCGCTACTGTTCAGCACTGGGGTTCTCCCCAACGCAGCGTCAGTCGGACATGGTTATTATCCTGCTTCACAGAAGGCACGGTTGTATCTACCTGGATTTGTCAGGCGGCTTCTCATTCCTTCCTGTCTATCAGGCTGCCCTTCTGAGATCAGTTTTCTTTCTCCTGAAGTGTAATTTTAGATGCTTCCTTTTATACAGGTCTCTCCGTAGCAAGCTCCTGCCGTTTTCCTCTGCTCTGGGGAAAAGCGGTTTTGAGGGTCACATAATTACAGACAGTCTTCTCTCGGCCTGTGAGTACCGCTCGTGGCCTCTGCTTTCACATGCTAGGTCTAGGAACGGATCTCTGCTTGTTTATATGCTGTGCTTTTTAACTTGCAGACTTGTATTTCCCATTAGTCCTGCTAAACCCTCAGGCAAGGTCTTCTCTCTCCACGCTCCCGAAGACGGGGGCTCCGTCGCGTGCAGCCACTACTCCGCGCCCCCGAGCCCCTCCCGCACATTTCTATTTCCCTGATGTGTCGGTGCATTCTGGGTGTGCCACTTGGATGCAGCTTCCAGGTCACTAACTCCCTCTTCAGCAGCATCTAATCTGTTTTTCATCCATCTACCGAGGTCTTGATTTCAATAAGTATATTTTTCATTTCTTCGTTGATAAGATCACGCGTGATCTTTAAGTGCGCGAGTCCTACAGGCCTACCGGGGGAAGTGTCCCCCGAAGTCTGGCCCGCACCCAAGAACAGCCCCTCGTCTGTCCCCTGCCCCCCAGGGCACAGCTTCAGCGCAAGCCATCTTTGTAAGTCAAGTAATTCACCTGTTGATTCTTTTGGACTTTGTACAAACAGATTCATGGCACCTGAGAGTGACAGTTCCACTGCTTCACTCTATGCCTCACCCCTTTCTTTCTTTCTCTGTCTTCACACACAGAGGCTGCGACAATGGCCATCCTCAGTGTTGTTATTTTTTCATCGGACAGCTTTCAGCGCCTCGTCACTAAGTGTGACATTCACTGCGTTTATGGTCATGTCAGGAAGGGGCCCTTCTTGTCCTAGTTAGGAGTTTCTATTGTGAATGGATGCTTAACTTCAGCAAATGCCTTACCTGCTAAGATTAAAACACACACACACACACAAGACATATAATTTCCAGAAACATTTAGAATTTTGTATTTCAGGTCTGAATCATGGCTTCTTTGTACTGCAAACTGCTTCTTTCGTGAGCGTGTGTGTGTGTGGTTTGAAACAAAGAGGTTAAAGTACTTCCTAAGAAAGAACAAGGACTTTAAAGTAAAATTTTCTTGCCGTTTTTCACACAGTAGATAAAATATTACTGAATAAGCATAAATGAAGTCTGCTTATCAGGAAAACTGAGCAAATTATCTAAAATGTCACGTCCCTCCTTAAAATCACACCGCATCACTGTGTCCCAACACCAGCAAACACGGAGACAAGCTGACGCCCGCCGGCTGCGGCGCAGCGGTCCTGACACGCTCGGTGGAGAGAAGTGAGTGGGGCGGGGGAGGGGAGAAGGCTGGTGTGCGCGCGCTCGGCGTGTGGGTGGACGTGCCAGGATGCCTCACAGTGACCGGGCTGCGTGGCCAGTGACAAGACTTCTGCCCGAGACAAGAGGCAGTGCCACGGGAGGGTGACCTACGGTAACCACGAGACCATCTTTGCTTCAGACACACCCTCCTGACGTTTACCTTTTGAAATACTCCACCTCCCGCTCCGTCTCATCCATATCCACGCTGTCCAGGTCGATGTCTTTAGGCAGAAAGACATCATCTGTAAGATGAAAGAAGAGAGGCAAGTCAGTCACCACAGCACCCGGCCAGCTCACCACGACAGATCATTTGCTTTTAATTTCAGAATCTTCACAAACTAAGAATTCTTCCTAACGTGAGATTTTGCAAACAGCCAAAGGAGGGAGGACTCTCTCACGTGCTTGTGAACGTCCAGGTCACCTGGAATTAGTGGACTCCTGTGTGCGGAGCAGAGGAGACCCACCTGCTGGCACCCAGATGTCCCAAGGGGTCACCATCAATCGTCGGGAGAGCCCTCGAGAAGATTCCTGAACCTCAGTGTACGCAGAGGCTGTCTGTCTTAGTCCCTGCTGGAGGGTGGGGCGGGGGGAAGGGGGGACACGACTGTCAATGGAAGTGTCCCAGAAGGCGGGCCCAGGGAGGGAAGGGCTGTGCCCAGGCCCCGATGTCAGCCTCTGGAGGAAGGCGGCTCTCTCAGGCACTCAGATTACACAAGCTACACCCCAGACCTCATCAAAAAGCTTTCCAGGCTGTTCCCACTGGAAAGCGTGGCCACAGAAGCTGAGGAACCCTCTTCGAAAACAGGCTGGAGCAGGGGGACTACTGACCGTCCCCCAGAATCTCGGCAGCTCTGAGGTTTCAACTTCTCCCTCCTGCTCTTCCTGGGCCCTGGGCGAGCCCGTGCGCCAGGGCCTCCATAGCGCACACCTGGCTGGGGTGCGGGCT